TTTTTGTTGACAATCCATCATCTTCTTTCTCTTCATCCTTCTCATTCAATGCTTTTTTTTTTTTAATGCATCAACCAATTACTTCAATTTAGTTTAACTAAAAATTCTTATTATTTGATATACTAATAGTTTTTTTTTTTGTAGATTTTATTACTAAAATAAGGTAAATTTTTCTTTAAAATGAGGTAAATTTTTCGTTTAAACTTAACTTGTACTTTTTATTTTCTTTTATTTTAATAAAATCATAATGTATACCAATGCATTTTTCTTTCCCTTTTTTTTTTTTTTGCAAAATATTATCTCAAAATAAGGTTAGAATTCTCATTTTAATTTTATTTATGTCTTTTATTTTTTATATTCTTCTTAACATTATTTCATAAATATATTGTTGTGGGACTTGGTAGTTGTATTAAATTTTGTTTGACTCTTTTTTATATATATAATTTAATTAACAAAAAAAATTATGAATATAATTCTTGATTTTATTGAATTTATATATATTTTTTTGTATATATAATAACAAAATATCAAATGTCTAGTAGTGCAAGCCCTAAAAAAATTGATTCTTTGTAACTTTAAAACCAAAAATTTTACAAAATAATCAATAAAAAAAACTAAGCAAAAAAAAAAAAACCAAAAAAAAGGGGAAGAACTAGATAAACCAAACATCTTGATAAGATAATTAAAACTTACTAAACATCAATTTAAAGAAATAGCACATTAGTTTAAATATAAAAAAAAAAAGAGCCTATAATTGACAACCAGTGGCTATCGGTTATATTTATAATCGACAGCCATTGGCTGTCGATTATAGAAACATAATCGACAACAAATTAAGCTATTGATTATACTCGAATCTCACCCATTCAACCCAAAAAAATTAAATCTCCCAGCTAATTAAATTTGAAACATAATCGACAGAATTTATATCAAATATATCTTGACTATATAAGGGCTCTAAAACCATAACATCCTATTGCCTTCTCTTTTTCATCTTCGGTTTTCTCTCCACTTCTCATTTTTTTCCACAAGTAAAATATCAAATTTTTTCTTTCAAGTTCTTCTCATTTTAATTTCCTTTTTCTTTTTTTCTTTCATCTTTTATATTCTCCCATTTGTTTTTTTTTGCAAATATCTCTACTTTTATTTCATTATTCATTTATACTTATTCCATTAGCGTTTTTGTTGACAATCCATCATCTTCTTTCTCTTCATCCTTCTCATTCAATGCCTTTTTTTTTTTAATGCATCAACCAATTACTTCAATTTAGTTTTAACTAAAAATTCTTATCATTTGATATACTAATATATTTTTTTTTTGCAGATTTTATTACTAAAATGAGGTCAATTTTTTTTTTAATTTAACTTGTGCTTTTTATTTTCTTTTATTTTAATAAAATCATAATGTATACCAATGCATTTTTCTTTTCTTTTCTTTTTTTTTTTGCAAAATATTATCTCAAAATAAGGTTAGAATTATCATTTTAATTTTATTTATGTTTATCTTTTATTTTTTATATTATTCCTAAC